TATGACAGAACATAGAACATTAAACGTGAATGAACAGTCTATGTTGTGAGCTATACATAAAAAGAAAACTTTATTAAAAAAATTAAGGGAAAGTATTGTTTTTTTATAAAACGAGATTGTAAGGTATCTAAATGTTACAATGTGACATGTTTCATACAGCATTGAACAAAAACTAAGTTCTCTCTGTTCCACCTTATATTAATGTTGTCTGCATGGTGACGAACTGGACACTTCTGTAGCTCCTGTTAGAACTCCTATAGTAAGCTAATTTTCTACTAGCAATGAAGCCCCAGGGTTATGTTAAGTTAGAAATTTCTATATAGCAAAACTTAAAATTCAACCATAAATGTTTTCTATAAAGAGAAGAGGTGAAGTTCCTGTCACACTTGGACAATACCGAACTCTGTTGCTAGGACACAGCGAGACAAAGGACAACAGGGCATCCAAATAAAAGGGATGGGAAAGGACTCAAAGCAGAAGAAGCAGATAAAGTAGCAGAGGATTGGAGGTTAGGGATGTAATTTGAAGGAACAGAACACACAAATAACAAGGGAAAGGAATATGGAGGAGGGAATGATGTAAAGGTTTAAAGGAGAGGAAGAAAGTTGAGGGATAAAGATACAAAGGAAAGATTTTTACTGTCATCTTTGACAGGTTATGCCACGAGTCTTATTCATATTCCATTGTTTACAGCTTCAGGAAACAGACAAAAAGTTTTATTATTCTGCATTATTTTGAGGAATAACTTATACCTGAGCCAAACTATAAATATGTAACTTTAAAAAAGAAAGTGCTGAAATGGGACAACACAAACTGAAGTGTAATCATGGGAAATCCTAATTTAGGGCTGCACCCATTTGCTATGAGCCTTTATAACAGCAGTTCTTAGACTGTGCTCTTGTCCAACATTCACATTCCACACACTACAGCAAGATGTTCTGACATTGAAACCAGGTAATGGCAGTCTCTTCCACATTTATCAGAAAAAATTATCAATTCTACTTTCATTTTAGCAGTCTATTATATACGCTTATTTTTTTTTTGCATCTTTTGTTTCTGCCAAGTGTGAATGTACGATGACTGTTGTTGTTGTTATTATTATTATTTGTTTACATGCATAAACCACAAAATAATATTACATATTACTGGCTGATACTACTGTTCCTAGCTTGAATGATGCCGTAAGAATAATTTTTTATTCTTGTTGCATAAAGAACATCACAAGTCCAAGTACTCTGCAGAGGGAAAAAGTTTAGGAACCACTGTTTTACAGCAAATGTAACTATTTTGGGAGCTCTGACTCTTATCAAATTTGACATCCTGTAATTAGATGGTCTGGAGCCAAGTTCTGTGTCTGTTCACATCACACTCATGTTGTCATCAGAACAGTTAGAAAGCTGTCCTCTATCACAGAGCACACCAAGCAGAGAGAACTTAAATATGCATATAACCATATCAAGATTCATATGAGAATTCCACATAATACATCATGCAGATTTGATTAACTGCAGTTACATAGATGTAATTATACAAAATCTAGTGTCAAGAGTGAAGCAAATCGCAGAAACACAATCATACTTAGCCTTAATCTTACCACAGACCACACTCCAATACAGAGTTCAGAGCAACAGTGTTGCCATCTACTGAACGGAATAATAATTTTATTATTGTTTTCTTGGTTTATCATTATTAACCATTTTCATGCAGAATTTAATTCCTTAAAACAAGCTGTTTCATTCTGTAGTGATTTTAGAGTGTGGTTTTCTGGATTATAACACTGTACAGTCTTACTGGTGGCTACCAATGTCAGAGAAACTCCCATGTCCTCATTCAGGACAGTAGTGCGCTACCTTGAAGATTGTGGCAGTATGTTCCTACAAAATGTTGGTACCAATCTACCAGACTATGGTGTCACATCTCAGAAGACTATAATTTTAATACTGACTGTCATGAGAATCTCAAATCTCATGTAAGTTGGTTTTAAATGTGATGCAATGGCAGAGGAGGTTGTTTTCAAGTCAAAGATAGGGATGTGCCTATGTTTCTGAGCATGGAAAGGGCTAAAACCTTCAAGGGCAGAATTCAACAACAGTGATGTTGTCTTGCCATCACAGAACCAATTACAGTGATGTGAGATTTCACGTTTTCACAGTGGTTAATTTGGCAGTACTGTGTTCTGGAATGTGAAGCCATGCAGTGTGATAAAAAGGTACACATTAGATGCAGTAGGCAGGTTCCTTTAAACAAGATCACACAGAAGAAAGTAGTCTTCTGGGTTTAGGCGCCGTGTATTCTTCGTTTCGGAGGAACGTATCGCCTCCATCTTCAGAGCAGGTTAAAGGCTTGGAATGCAGAGAGCAGTAGCTGTAGTGATAGGAAGTGAAAGGCGCTGCTTATATACGTAGTAGGCAGGGGGGGGGG